TTTTACAGCCTTGAAGTAGTCTTGAAGGGACTATCTAAGGCAGTGAAGAGAGTTGGGTCTTTGCTGAAACTGCCAATGTGACAGTAGCTGGTTAGCTTTCCAGATGCATGTCCTTAAGCAGGGATTAGAAGAAAAAAAATGTTTTGTGGCTACCAGATCATGATTGCAGATGTCAAAACGCTTTTCTTCATCACACGCTGAAATCCCCAAAGGTTTCTTTTATTTCTACCACAAAGTGTAAGTTATTGCTATCTTATTTAAATTTAATTCTAACTTGTACCTGTTTGACTTTGTCCCTCCTTCCTTTGCTTGCTTTATTTACCTTGGTATATCTCAGATAGTTCTGAGTCTCCACAGAATCTTCTGTGGATATAGGAGCTGATGGGACTGGAGCATCTTGTTGCTGCAGATGAAGATGTAGCTCTTGTTCTTTTCTGGACACGGGTCAGAGTATGCAGCCTTGAATGAAAGGATGGTCCAGGTCGGAGCAACAGTCAGGAGCTTCAGGAATCGGTCATTCCTGGGCATCTTAGTTGGTACTTGGGAAATCTCTTATGGTTTGTCTGCATGGTGAATGCAGGCAAACTTGTGTTCTGAGTTAATCAGGTGCAAGACGAATCTGGTCTGCCAGTGCTGTGCCTGAGCTGTGCTGACTTACCCTACAGCTACAAGACTTGTGTCCTGGAGCTGGCTTGTGGAGTGTAGGACTGCTGGGCAGCGCCTGTGTGTGCAGACCTGCCCGAAGACTCCTCGTGCCACGGTTTTTCTGTGTGTAGAAATGGAACACTAGAACTTCTGCCTGTCCCAAAAATGCTTGTGACAAGAGGGAGTCATTAGGTGAGGCGTTTTCACAAACACTCTGAAGATACAGAAGGCCCTTTGTTATTAGGGTAACTGCCAAAAAAATCGTAGTAGTGTTCTCCTCCCTTGCTAATATCTTCTAGAAAACTCTTTTCCAGCCCCACATTACTGTGATTGGAGGCTGCTTTTTTTTTTCTTTGAAATAAAGTGAGGTAAAACTAAACATTTCTTCTTGAATGACACAGGCCAAACACTCCTTCTTTCTGAAGACAAGGTCCTCTACCTTATTTCTCTTTTTTTTTTTTTTCTTTTACAAGAATTGATTTGAGAAAGGCAGAACATCAGCAAATAGCCGTTGTGGAGGAGCCTGGTGTTGGCTTCATTTGAAAACCTCAGCTGTAGATGAAGAGACCAGTGGGTATTCGAACTGCAATAGCATGAACATTGCTCACAGAAGGATGTGGAGCCCGCTGCAGACTTCAGGGCGTTTTAGGAACTTGCTGAATGCTCTAAACCAAAACACTTCAGATTTTAAGCTGGGCTTCAGTTATAGGCAGTGGAAGCAGCGTACTGGGAGCAGTACAGGAGGGTAAATCCCAGGTATGGGATTGGCACTTTCTCTCCCACCTCTTTTTTCCACTCCCTAGTTGCTGGGGAAGCAAGGAACCGTAGCTGTTTGTCCTATTTCAGCCTGTGAGAGGGCTTGAAGTTTTTCAGCAAGGAGTAAGCTGGGAGGAGCTGCTGCAGTCACAGAGCAGACTTCAAAGCCTGAGTCTGAAGAGTGGAACTGGAGAAAGAGTAAGGCTGGGCCTTTGCAAGGTGGATGGACATTACCAGTCAGGTTGCAGCTGCTGGAAGAGGTGTCCCCCCCTCCCAGCTGTCGTTCCTTCTGCTCGCTTTGTGCCAGCTCTTGTGCTTAACTGACCCTTTGCATTACTGGGTCAGTTCACTGAGCCCTTGGAGGGGATGAACGGTTTGGGAGAGCGGCAGAGCTGGTGCAGGTGGCGAGGGAGTGAGGCTGGGGGGTTGAGTGGGACTCTGTCTGTGGCAGCAGTTGAGCATTAGGTTGGCTGTGCCTTCTTGTGATGCCCTACCTAGGAAAAGCTCATTGTTCCCTGCCTAATGTCCCTTTCCCTGGCCTCTGTAAGCATGCCACCACTGCATGCTAGCAGTCCCTCTTCTCAAAGCCAACTCTGTCTCCACTGAGGTTATTATCTCTTAAGAGCCATAAATGAACTCTTAATTCTGTGAGTTACATTCAGTGATGAAATTAACTAATTTATTCAATAAAATGTACGGTATTCGTAGTATGACATATAAACATGGTTGTTGAAATCTTAACCTCTGCATTTCCAATTTTGATATTTTTGTCCCCTCCCATGTATAATCTTAATACTTTACTAACAGACTGCATAAAATGTATTACTCAGATAAATTCAAATGCATATTTTTTGGACATAAAACTACCGTTCAGTGAAATGCCAAGTACCACTTCTCTCAGGTAAGTAACATCTTGTAAATCCAATATTTGTGCTCCTGAACACATGAAGAAATATCTGATGAGAGCATTTAGGCACATTATTTTTTCTGTGGAATGTAAATCTGTAGGACTTCTTGTCCTATAGGTTTTTGTCACCATTTTTTTTTTTAAGCAGATTATTAAAATACTTACCATTGCCCATGTATTTGTCTAAAGATTGTATTGCCATAGTACTTTGTGCCCTTCTTATTTCTGGATGACTTAAATATTTTTTGGCAGTGTTATATATTGCCTGGCTAATTTGTAGGGGAAAAAAAAGATCATCTTGCTGCTTTTAGCAAAAATTCAATACAATGGAAAGATCTAATATTAAGGGTTTTTTTTTCTAAAGAACATGTTCTGCAGTAAATCTACGAGCATACCAGCATATAATGGAGAATTATTGTACTTCGAGTATTCCGCATCTGTCTTAAACAAATTTTTTTTTTCCTATTTGAAGCTTCATGTTTACTTACTTAGTAAGCGAAGCAGGGCTCCGGACTCTTGGACTATGGTGGCTGTAACAATACGTTGCTTAATGTAGGGTGGTTGTGTGAATGAACAAGGTTTTAATCTTCTACTACAGGAAGTTTTAACAGTTGCAGTGCTAACCTAGTCTTGGAAGAATTTTAGGGATATCTCAGCTGCCATTCAAGCTCATGTTAACTATTGCCCTTCCGACCCATGATCACGTAACCGACCCTTGGACAATCAGGATTTGCTGGCATGCTTTCCTAATGTTAATTTTGCATGTCACGTTTTAAGCTATATTTTAAATAAATATGTCAGCTGCAAGCAAGAGGTGGTGGCATCATGTGCACAGCAAGGGCTCTGCAGTCTGTAGAACACAATTTGGGCATCTCCTTTGTGGTGTGCTTGCACCGTGTATGTGCTCAGCTTGGGAGCGAGGGCAATCTTGCCTAGCCTTCCAGCAGGACTGGTATTAATGCTGTGGCAAGGGTGAGGGTAGGTGCGTGGCCATCACTCGTGTGCCCCAAGGCGGTTGAGGGTACTCACTCCTCGTGCCAGCAGTGTGCTAGCTGGAGGGAGAAGAGGGTAAAATCTATTTTGTGGGGAAGGGGTTGCTGGAAGCAAAGTGAATTAAGAGGCTGTAAAAAATTGATAAAGATAGGACTGTCTGTTTTTATATTCTGCCACATAACATGGGTTTAAATGAATTTCCCTATAATTTGTCTTCAAATACCGACATTTAACTCTTAGGCTGTATAAATGAACTGGCTTTTTCTAGAGTAAAATTCATGCCCTGCGTCCAGGCTAATATGTTCACCTACTATAAACATTACTGCCTATGGTTACAACCAGAATAAAAAATTCCTTTTATATACATCATAGCTGGCAGAGACTCCTGAGACCACCACAAATCACTTCAGCCTTTTGGTGCTCTCTGACGAAATGAACTGAAATGTAAAACATCTCAGGCTTCAGGCAGGCTGGCTCTGGAAAGCAATTAGCTTGTTTAGACCATTGTTTGTTACCCTCCTCGTATTTCCAGGTGCAGAGCAAAGGTGTTCTAGGAGCTCTCCTGATTGATTTAAACGCTGGAGTTTAATAACCCATTCCTTCCTAAAATGTTTGGCTCATTCTCTGCGTAGCCTTTAATTTAAATCAAAAAAAACCCAACCAAACAAAAACCTGGCAAAGCCCCCCCTCCCCCAAAAGAGCAAGAAGAAGAAGGGAAAAAAACCTCAGGGTCATAACAGGGAATAACAAAGCAGTGAGTTATTTATGCAGCCATGATTGGCAAAAATGATTGCAACATGAATTTGCCCAGAAGCAATGATTAGATCATAAAAATGTTAAGGAAATCTGTAACTCAACACCATTTTATAGATTGAAGAAGTTTTTGTTCCCTACCTTAATTGCGGTGACTTGTTATTAAAGTATTTATTCAGAGTAATCTCTTTGGACAGCGAGCCCTTATCCCATCTGCATGCATAATTAAAAGTGAGGGGGGAGAGAGGGGAGCATAAATGGTTTACCATGCTACATGAGCAAGGGAGGGAATTACACAATGACAGGTGAAGAGCAGATTTATCTCCTGTTGGAATTTCAATGCTGCAAGCAAGGCAGGACACTGTTGCTTGCTAATATCCTTGCAAACACCACAGTTGCTGCTTCTCCAGATTACTGTCCAAAAATCCTTGCTGGTCCCTGAAAGGCCTGTAGCGCTGCATCTGTGGCTGTGCGTTTTGGAGCTGTTGGTGCTCAAGCAGAGAGATTTGTTTTGGGTATGTGGGCTTGTGAATCCATGTCTGTGCTTAAAAATGGACTATTTACTTACTTGGCTGGCTATTTATTTATTTATAAGTAAACATTGGTAGTGTCTGGCTTTGCTGAATACAAATCAGAGGGTTGTAATTGTTCCAACTGAAACAATGTCATCACCTGCCTTCTGCTGCTGTCCCTTTTCCAATGATAAAAGAATTTGGTGTGATTCTTCTTTTTTCCCCTCCCTGAGCAGAAAGAAGGTTGTACTTGAACATTTATCTTTAGGCAGATTTATCATCATTAGGCACTACTCAAACACACGATATCTGTTTTTAAATTGAACTGTTATGGATCTAAATCAGATTTACACAGAGTCAGTTGGTATGTATTTGGCTCTAACTATTTGTTAAAGAGTATTTTTCCCTTAACTTCTGATGTCTCACCTCTGCAGCAGCAGTACAGAGAATGCCAGGAACTTCTGAGCCTTTATCAGAAGTACCTAGCTGAGCAGCAGGAAAAACTATCACGCTCCCTTTCTGAACTCAGTGCTGCCAAGGAAAAGGAGCAGAAGGTAAGCTCTTTTCTCCCATGTCCTTTTTTAATGACATCATTGCAACATCTTTTCTTGTTTAAAATTGCATTTGTATTAAGTGTGATGTCTTGCATTATACAGTGTCAAATACTGTTCTGTGACTGGCTTCCCATGAGTCTTCACTTAATACATGGATTGCAGAAAATGAAAAAAACCAACCTACCCAAGTTTTGGGTCAATATAATGGGTGAAGTTAATTGACATGCTGTAACAGAGTAGGAATCCTAGGAACGCAGGCCTTTGCTAAGGAAAAAGTTAATAGACTTCTATTTTCTGTCCTGTTTCTTAAATAGTAAAATGATTGTAGTCACTATAGGTACAGCCATTCAAATTTTCACTGTGGCTTTTGATGATTGAAAAGGACATTACAGATGATGTATTTGATCAATAAGAGGTTTCTCAAGTCTGTAAGGCAGCCCATCTGATTTGAGCTACCCATAATTACATATGCAGTTGAAAATCAGAAAATGTTGACTAGAGATACGATGTGTTAAATTAAGTGGTAAAATGTTTCTCAGATGTGTGCGGCCAAAGACTTGAAAACATGGTTGCTTGAGGGTTTTTTTTGTGGTGGGTTTTTTGTTTGTTTGTTTGTTTTTTCCTGATAGCTAGGTTCTTGATTTGCATCCCTGCTGATAGCAGATAGACCATGGAAGTGAAGGCTACTTATGCAAGTGCTCTACCTAATGTTTATACCTGCTGCTCTCTTTGAGTAGCTTCCACCTGGGACTCTCCAGAGTCTACCCTACCTAATATTGCCTTATTTTATAGGTTGGACCTTTGATCTTATCTTTTTCAGGAAGAGCCTTAAAGGCTTATAATAGGGCTAGAAGTAAAGTCATCAGCACACAGTATCCAGAAGGTGTTATGATTCCAGGTTCTCAGTGTTTCCCTACTCACAAAATTGCAGACAGATCCTTCATCTCGGGAGCCTCTGAAGGAAGAAGTGCATTTTTAATTCTGTTCAGGAAGCAGGTAGCGATACTTCTCTGACTTCATTGGCATCAGAAATCGTTTTTTATCCTGCTGATGGTGTTTTTTTCTTCTTTTTTGTAAAATACATTGTTGGACATTGAGCTGTTTGTCAGGCTTTTAGCCTTTATAAACATTTAATTTCCATTCTTTTGTATTTTTATCTGCCATCCATTTTGTGATGGCATTGAGTTCAAAACAAGAACCCTTTTCTCTGAGAATAGATGATGGCTGTGTTCTTGTCTGTGATAGGCAACTTGCTGGGGGTCTCCATGGAGAACAGTCCAGGGTAGCCCATGTAGTCCAACAACACTGTGACAGCTTCGTTTGGGATGATGCCGAAACTTCTCTCTGGTTTTGCTGTGCTTAAACTTTCGCCTTTAGCCTTTCACCTTTAAATACACGTATCTTGTACTAGGTCAGCAGCTGTTGTAGAGGTATCTGGTGTAATTGCACCTAGAGTGCTAAAGAACAGAAGCAGATAATAGAAAACCTTCAGCCCATTAACTGTCAAATCAACATCTTGTGGTATAGCAATCCACATTCATCTCTTGTTCTTCTGTCTTCCTAAGCACTCTATCAGTGTATACACACAGACTTCTCTGAACTTGTTTTCTGATTTCATGTGTAAAGTTCTATCAAACATATCTTTGGTCCCATTATTTCTTTTCTCTATACTTACAGGTATTGTTGTCCACAAATGCAAATTCAGATATTATATTGAGGTTTGCCTTGACATTTCATTTATGGTTATCTAGTCTACAGCTCCAACCTAGCAGGTCTGAAATTACCCTGGCCCTCTTGCCCCTGCAAAGCTTTGTACGCATAGATAAAAACCTGTCAAAGCATGTTTCAGCTGTTTTTTTTTTTTTTTTTTTACAGCTTGCAAAATATTTCTAATGTTTCTAGCCTTCCTCTTCAATTTTCTCTTTCTGTGCAGTCCTGGTAGGCATAGAGCTGTTTACATCCTGATTGTATTTTGCTTTATAAACTGTTACCTTTTTCCCCAAACAAGCACTTCATGCTATGTTTCTCCTCACGGCTCAAACTGTGGAGAGAAGTGCAGGGCTGCTTCTTTGTGTCGGTTTTTTTCCTACCACACCTCATAGAGAACCATTTTTTGCACACCTCATGTGATAGCTATCAAAACCAGCAAAGTCACTGGGCTGCTTCTTGATGGACTATTGTGTTATTTTCACACACCTTTTTTTGGTTGCTTTTTGTCTCTTGCCTTAACACTTGAACTGCGAGCTCTTAGGCTTGTAGTTGGTCTCTCTTTTCGAGTGTTGTCTTAACCCTAATAGTTCAGCCAGGCTTGTGTTTTTGGGAGGTAAGAATTGGGAGGGGGACAGACCTAGGAAACTTTCCTCGTGCTCTGAGTGCTGCCCATGCCAGCTTTCTCTGCCCTGCTGAAGCTCTTGTGCTCGCCTTACTGTTTTAAGCTGGACTTTGAAAAAAAAAAAACCTTGTTTAAATATTAGGCTAAAGAAAGTCTTCTGGAGTTTGTTTTGAATTCTGATCCATTGGGAGTTTTTTCCCTGTTGTTTCTTTTTGACTGGATTAAGGAAATACTGGATACGTCTGGCTTTAAATCAATAGACACTGGCTTGCTACCTAGTTTTCACTTCTTTGAACTGTCTAGGAGAGGTAATCAGCATTTCCTATTTCAGGTGACTGCTGATGTTACTGGGGCATCGGTGCTTCAGCGTAAGATCTCATTCTGTTTTTTTCTCAGTTTTCCAGAAACATGGGACTGCATAGTTACACCCTGTACTGAAGCACTTTGTTCTGCCTCTTATGAGCTGTTCTTTCTTGTTTCTGTTCATTTTCCCCTCCTTTTCCTACTTGTTTGTTTTGATCATTTCTAATGCTACACCTGTATCTTGGCATCACCTGCTCCTCGCCTGTCTGGCTCCCTCATTCTTACTGTACAGTAATGCTGACCATGAGCTGTCACTTCCCCTGGGCTTAGACAGCTATTTGAAAGTATCTCCTTGCAGCCTTTAAATGCCGGCCTTTGTGTTAGAATGAGACAATTAACAGGTCAAGAGAACTGCAGCATTACCGAAGATGTATGTCTTGTTGTGAAAAGAGGTGGAGTTGTACAGGAGGCAGACGACTGCAGTGGCTGTGTACATGTGTTTCAAATGCAGTTTGGGCTTGTAGCTGTATTGAACTAATGCAGCTACTTCGGTGTTAACTTTTATTTTTGTCTATTTTAGCATCACCTAACGGTAGCAATAATTCTGAGATCACGTTTTCCTCTTACCTAATATTGCTCCTTTATAACGAAAGTCAGCCCTCAAAATTTAAGGAAGCGTTCTGGTAGTAGTGAAATAAAATTGCTGGGAAGATGGTGGTGAGATGATTTAGGACAGAACTCTTGTGGAGTCAATAATCAGTAACTGGAACATGGAGGTTCCTTTTTTTGTGAGATAAAGTTAATTCCATTTGAAAAGATACTTAAGGTGACATGAATTGAATTATTCAAACTGGCCTTCTCAGCATTAACTCTAGGTTAATATCTCATGATGCCTCTGGTTTCATTATAGCAGTTTTAAGTACATAACTTTTTATAATAAATTCAATACCTAGAAGCCGAACTGAAATTGGTTTACCTTCTACCAACCCATAAAAAGAAGCATTAATTGTAAAGTGAATATTAAAGTGGTCACTAAAGTTGACTCAGATTCAAAGAGATAGCTCTTGTGTAAAGGAAGTGCAGAGCTCTACTGAACAATAGGCTTTTGCCCTGATTTTAATAGAAAATACCATCCATAATAAAATGTTAAACAACTTCTATCAAAAATGATTTTTGGATGTTCTTTCTGCAGCTCCCAAATGCAGTCTCTGCCATTTTCAGAAGCTATACTCAGAGATGTAAAGAAAATTGCCCTTGTTCTAGGTAATCAGGTCTGACCTAGTTATATAGTCACGGCTTCACTGCTATCTCAAACAGTGGCAAGAATCCAGTTTACTTTGGCAAGTCTCTGGCTGGTGAATCTGTGGATGCTCTGCAGTGTAGGGCAGGACTTGAGTCACCGAAGTGGGACAGGCGGCTGAGTTTCTGCAGGACTGTGATTCTTGAGCTACTTCACCTGAAAGAAAGATAATACCTGTAGCCTCAGCATTGCCTATTAATGTTAATCTTTGAATTTACAAGTACAGCTGGCAGCTTTTGTTTCTTATTTGTGGAAGATTACCAACACATCTGCTAATTCCCTTGATTTACATAAGATTCTTGTATATGTGTTTGAAGCTTTGGTTCTTCCCCTTGTAGAAATGGCAAAGATACGGGGTGGGATTCTAAACAGAAAGGAATATAAATCATTTATTTTTCAATGGGATGTCTGCTCTCCCCCTTTCCTGTGCATTACGTGGTCTACCTCCTGTTTGGTGTTTGTGTTTCAGTAGTGCCAGAGGCCCTCATCAGGAACGAGGTACTGTTGTGTACTAAACACTGCAAGTATGCTGAAAGACATCGTCTGCTTTGGGAAGATTGTAAAATCTTAAGAAGATTAACTTTTGTGGGGAGGATAACTTTTTTTTTTTACTCTTTTCTTAATGTTACTATTTTTCTTGAATCACGTGTTCATCTTAAAAATTATTGACACAGTTGTGGTGTAATTTCACAGCAAATTCCAAGGGAAGCCTTTTCTTGCCAGGAACAGGAAGTGTTATCTTTTCATCTTGGTGACTAAAATCCCTGTTCGTATCTTTGTCAATTTTTGCCTTAATAAGGATGATTACATACTAAAGCTTCAAACATTGGTTATTTGATTTTTTTTTTCCCCTTTTGAAAAGGATATTGAAACAAGTCAATATTCAAAAACCCTTGCTTTCTGATTGTCCAAGAGTTTCCCATTCCTCTCTTTTTTCAACACAGGTCACCTTTAAACATGTTCTTAGCTTACTTCAAGAAAAAAATTCCCACATATGCAACAGGCTTTGAATGCTATAAAGTAAACCTGCGTGATAGAGTTGACTGTGTGTTTACCCAGCTGTAC